AACTTACTCTTAGTCTAGCCAAAGAATTACCAGATAAAAAGAAAATTTAACTGAAAATCAAAAGTTAAGAAAAATTAAATCATCTATGCATAAGCATCGAAATACTCGTAGGGAAACGTAATCAGAAAAGCCCACCCTGAGACCCAAGAAAATCTATAAAAAAAAATAACAAAAAGAGAGTGAAATACTATAGCTAATAAATAAATAAATACCACATATCGAACAAATCTGAGGAGCTTTGCACTATCTATCGATATGTCCATATTATATATACATATATATATTCTATACAAACGAGTCTCCAGAATCGATGTATGCTTTGCAGCTAACTTAAGATCGCATTTACCACACAAGAACACATACTATATAGATATATACGTATTACACAACTGAAATTTTTGCATTTAAGCCAATAGAGAGAAACGCGCTATATGTGTTATATAGTATTTGATTGTATCGATATCGATGTTATTTGTCAGAGATCACACGCACACGAATCAGAATCTCTAGAAGTGTCTAGGTATAGTGGGCCAGCGTATATTTGGGTAGAGACTTTTTTAAGTAGTAGCAAATGCGATTTGTTTATAGTTTTATACATACATATACATACATATATATATACATATGTGTATTCCACAGACATTTGATGTGACAACAAAATAAAACTCTATATGTTAGACATACATATATACTACGTACATACATATACATTTATATAACTAACGATATCATCGTGAAAGCACACACACAAACACACATAACTGGGTTTGTAACTGATGTGGACAGCCGTCCACTGTGATACAGCACACATAAAACTGAGAAGTAAAGAGAACATACTCACATACATAAATACCAAAATATATATACATATAGATATACATATTCAAATGGAATTATCTGCGAATACGTATACGAAAACTCACAGTTCCGTACCGAGATTTTCATTTCCTGCCTAAGTAACCAATAAGTAAATCAGATGCAAACATACATACACACACATATACATATACCTATACATACAAACATTAGCTTGTTTTCCTCTCGATGTTGCCTACTTTTGTGCGCCAGCTGCATTTCGATACCTAGATAATGCTCGTAGTACAAAAACTCTTGGTATTTTATTTTCTTCTATACAAACCAAGTCCAAAATTTCCCACCAATATCCCAAAAGTCTCTTGACTGAGTCATTTGTAAACAAAAACAATACTGAACAAAAAAAAAATGCAATGTCAATTGTAAGTAAAACTTGAATTCAATTATTTTGGGTAAAAACTAGAAACATTTTCGTCTAATATGTCTATGTTATTTTGTAGAACTTAGCCTATTCGTTGTCATCTCTACATACAAATTCCAATTCCTGGCCCCTACCCCCCTATATCATCTCAGTCTACATACATAAGTATATATGTATATACATATATCTGTTATATATATATATGCATATATTTATCTTTGTTGTTTACGCTACAAGTAGTCAATTATGCTAAATACAAAACTATTTATCAATATACACCGATGCTCTGCATTTATTAATCGTTTTTCTTTCTTTTGTCTCTGTCCCGTTTCTTTTCTACTTTCCATATTTTTCATCTCTTTCTTTCGGTTGTATCCAAACAAAACAAAAATCAAACTCAACGGCTTGTTGTTGCTATCCTTGTCTTGATTGTTTACGATAATGCATTATACAACACTACAACAACAACAACAACAACCACACGATGTATGCCTACAACAACTACAACGACTACCACAACTACTACTACTACTACAACATTGCTATGCGTGCGTGCGCGCATGTGTGTGTGTGTATATGTGTGTGCTTGCATTTTTCGTCTGCCTGCGCCCGCCTGCCTATGCCTCTGTCTCTGTCTCTCTGCCTCTGTCGCTGTCTCTGCCTGCCCCGTTATATCTGTGTGTGTAATGTTCATTTGTGCCAAAAATGCAACAAAATTGTCCACATGCACAAACACAAATATACACACACTCCCACACACCCCCACATGCTCACACACACACACACCTAAACGAAAACAATCCGGTTGTATTGCAATGTTTGTTGTGTAGAGCAACTTTGGGTCAAGGCATTCGTTCCGGTTGCGGCATAGTGCCCCTAACTGGACCCGGCGGACTGCAGCACTATGCCACAACAGATCGGCGATCGAGCGGCAGCTTGCGGGTAAGTTCCACTCCAATACCATCAAGTCATGCATACGATACATATATCAATATATCTCTCTATATATAACTATCGCTATATTGTTTGCACACATCAAAATTGCGATTTCTACAATTGAGAAATAATAATTAAAAAATAAAAAATAAAATAGAACTCCAGTTTCTGCCTATGTATTTATCTTAGCCTGATTTGACGTGAAGCTTTTGTTGTCTACTCTCTCTATATACATTGTATTTCTCTTTCTCTCTATCTCTGTCACTCTCTGTGTGTATATGCCTTTATAAACGTTATCGCTTCAAGTACTTGTGTAGAATGTCAAAGGAACATAGTAGTATTTATTTTGTATTCATTTAATTTACATAAACAAAACAGACAGACATTTGCCCACTTCTCAAAGTACTTTGAGCACACAGTACAACAATGCTTCGACACTTAAGAGTACTTAGTATTAATAAGCCTAACACACAAATTGTTCAGCATATATACCGAGTCTCATAAATATACATATATATATATATACACTCAATTATATATATATTTATATTTAACTAAGGTTAAGTATTTCATTATTTTCGCATAAATTTCTTATACTTTGGCATGTTTGAGTGAAGCTAAATAATCGCGTGGACCACAAGAGATAACGTCCCGAAACGAATCGCATCATTTAACATTTTAGATATGCTACAACAAATTATTTAAAAATAAATTAGAAAAAAAAGCAGCTGAAAAGTGAATAAGAAATTAATTTACAAATTTGCTTGTGCTTTTTTTGGTATTCAAAATATACCAAAAAAAAACGAATTAATTGAAATAAGCTAGTTCAATTATTTAGGGTCCATTATTGTATGATTCGACAGTGTTGAAAAGCGCACATTTAGTATTTAAAAAAGTTTAATCAAAAAGTATATAAAATATTTATAATATTTGAGCAGCCTAAGAAGATAGCTAAAAAAAAAAAATAATAAGCATTTATAATAAATACACAATAATAATAATAATATATATAATGATTTATATATATACATAATATTAAATAATCCCCATACACAACTCGTAGTTATTGCAAGTAAGTAACAATTAATTAATACGCATTTTGCGAAATGCACCCAATATGGAAGTTAATTAAAATAAATATAAACTGTTTAAATTGCGATTTTTTATTTGATTATTGACAAATTCATGAATTATTAATTATTAACGGCATCAGAAGTTTCACGACAAATCGCAGATAAATGTTAATTGGCAAACAGGTGGGAGTGGGTCGAATGAGAGGGGGTTGGTCAGCTGGTTATCCATAGCTAAACTTAAACTGAAAACTAATCTAGCATTTTGTTCTCTTCTTGTTCCTCTCTTTCGCCTGACAGATTTCGGCATGGAAAGGATCTCAGGTGAGTGGCCAGCCACAGCAGAGGTGTGCCAGCTTATCAGCTAATGATCGTTTCCTTTGCTTACAGAGTTCTCTGTCAAAAGCCTTTCGCTTCAACAGCAAACCCCATCGCGCCGGCGATCGCAGCTCCTTCGGTAACTCCACCTCCCCAACGCCATCGTACAGCAGCAGCGAGGGCGGCGGAGGAATATATGCTACCATAGGTCCGCAGCAGATGCAAATGCAAGCGCATCATCATGCGCATCAGCCGCATCATTATCTGCCGCCACCCACGACCGCACCGCCGCCGCCACCACCGGGCTCCAGCTACGGCCCCCCGCCGCCCGGGCATCGGGTGAGCGCCCCACCGCTCGCCAGCATCCTTGATAGCCACGGACTGGACTCGCATCTGCTCTATGAGCAAAACAGCCGCCGCGTGAAGAGCATCAGCGACATAGGCGTGGCAGCCAGCGGCAGTCTGGGCGGCATATCCGCATCATCGGACTCACCTGAAGCATGAGCATGAGCCGTGTAGGGTCTTCAAGATTTCATTTCATACATGTTCCAAAGTGATAGGTTTAAGAGTCGAGATAGAATTTGGAGTTCAGCAGCTCCTCATCCGTTGATGGCTACCATGACCCACCTGTAAAGGCGTTAAGGTGAACATTACGCAACACATACATACATATATCAAGTCAGCAACAAACACAACACTAAACATAATTGATTAAATCAGAATTCCAACAGAACAAACTCATAATTTATTAAATAACACATACGAGATGTAAGTTCTATGCACGCAATTACGTAAGACAAAGTAGTAAACATTTAATTAATTGAATTAATTAACCACAGAGCGCGTTGGTTGTTTGCCGTAAACCAACTCCAACTATAAACAATTTAACTTTATTAGCCTAATCAAATCTGTATTAATTGTAAATTCATTTGGAAATTATATTTAATTATCAAAGCAAACTGCGAAAACCTAAAATGGAAAATGCAAATCGCAAATTGCAAATTGTGAACTGCGAGTGGCTATAAATTAAAGTCCTCTGGCATCGGATTTGAATTAATACCCCAAACTAACCATAATTGCAATTTAGATAAATTCAAATTATTTTGTTAAGCGCCCCAACTAACTAAACTAACTAACGTAGCTAAGCAATTGTGAAACCCAATTCAATTCGTATTGTGCAAATTGTAAATGGCTATAAATCTAAGTTTAGTATGCAAATATTTAATTCCCGCAATTCTATGTAAAATCTCCAACACAAATTAATTCAGGCAAAAGATAAAACTTAATCCGCAATAGTGAAAGAATATTTATATATATATAAATCTGATATCCTTCCTACCTATACAACTCCTAAAGCATATATTGTATCAATAATATGAGATGTTTATTTTTAAGCAGACCAATTTAACTCTAGCATTACAGGTAATATAAACGAATAAACGAATGATTGAAAACGTGTTTAATTTGAATATTTTTGCTCGAGCTTGCGTTGTTACAAAACTAGAACTTCAACAAATTGCATTGTCTCCAGACCGAAACATTTCACCGTGACCAAAATTTTGTGTGTTTGTGCATCCCGAACGGATTTCTGCTTAATGCATCTGATGGGCTTGAGCTGCTAGCGGCGATCCTCGTCGTTCTCATTCCTCGGCCGGCGAGTTGTATGGGGTCGTCCCTTGGGTTCCGGCACAGGCTCGGCGGCAGTCAGGGTGCCAAGGCTACCGATCATAGCCAATACGCCGAAAAATAGAAACAAATTGAACCACTTCATAGTGAATTCCGTTTGTAATTTGCAGCTTAGTTGGATGTTAACTGATCGCCAATCCGATCTGGTGCCCCTTTTATGGTCGGGCTTATGCAAATGACACTGGGAAAGTCTGTCAACATCGTTTAATGTTGCTTGTGTTCTTAGATCAAGATGTCCGATTTTTAAAATTGAGTTGTAAATCTCGTGTTAAATATGGGCGGACATACATTTAGGTAATTGGCTGCAATCGCAATTGTTTTTCCCACTCACAAACAGCAAAATTGTTTTGCTTCGCGACGTGGGATCAATGCTGACATGCCAAATCTATTTAAATGTCAAGCTTGACATTTACATTTGACTTATTGCTAATTATGGCCAATTTATAAATATCTATGTGTATATCTATGATAACTGTATATTTGTACATGGGAGATTGTTCTAAATTAAAGTGATGATTGCATCACTGGAAGCACAAATACTGTTCAAACGAAATTACATAAATAACAAAATTAATAATAAATTTCTATATGAATGTATCTAATTCACAGCATTACGAAGTGCTTGGTCTAATGCGACTATTAGGACTAGCGAAAATTGAAATATGTATGTATGTATATATAATATAAACATACTCGTTTCGAATAGATTACAATTGATGAACGAAATTTGGAGCGGAGTGTGTGCTCCAGTTAATTAAATAACCTAACGAAGGTTTTTTGGTGATATTGCGAGGACTGTACAAACAATTTTCTTAACTAAAGACTGCATTTATCAAAAATGCTGTTGACTAAACAATAATCACAAAAGATTCGTTTGACGCTAATTATATTCAGAACTCCATTTGAGAATGGCATTGCAGAACTAGCTTCTCCCGAAATATGAGCTCCAACTCGTTGGCCTCCTGTTCACGTCGTAGCTCCTCACCAATGCACTGCCACATGCTCTCGAATCCACAGTCCCACGGGCAGTTGCTGAGCTCACTCTCAATTAAGCTCTCGTCAAAGTTGAAGGAGTATTCGTGCTCGTAATCACACATTTTTATTTGTTTGTTTAAGCTGCAGTAGACAGAAAGGAACTGTTATAAATATCGATATAGAAATGATTTCGATTATTGCATCAACAATGCCAATCGAGGTGGACAGCCCCGCTGGAGCTGTTATCAGTTGCAGAGCACAGCTGATAGCATTTAGATCAACAGAATAGTTTATGAAGATGTCGCGCAAAAACGTCTTAAATTTGATCAACACAATCGTTGCCAACTCGTAAATAACTGTATATAAAATATATTTCTGCAAACCAGCTCATTTGATTACTTTTAGCTGCAAGTGTCCAGCCCATTCGCACAATTATGGATCAGCTGCAGCAGCCACAACCCAAACGGGTCCAAAAGAATACGCATTTGAGGTAATTACGGAACGGGCAAAGTCCAAAGTCTATAAGAGCTTATCATGGTTTTCTATGCACAGATGTCTGCGTCTACTGTGCGCTTTGGTCCAGGCGTAAGCACAGAGCTGGGCGCTGACCTGCGCAACTGGGGCGCGAATAATGTTTGTCTGGTCACCGATAAGAATGTGGCGAAGCTATCTTCAGTTCGGGTTGCCCTGGACTCTTTGGCGCGCCATGGCATCAACTACCAGGTGTACGACGAGACGCGTGTAGAGCCCACGGATGAAAGTTTCTGGCATGCAGCTCAATTCGCGCGTCGCCAAGAGTTCGATGCATTCGTGGCCATTGGCGGAGGCTCTACCATGGACACGGCCAAGGTGGCGAATCTCTTTAGCTGTGATCGCGAAGCAGAGCTGCTAGACTACGTCAATGCGCCCATTGGTCGAGCCAAGGAGGCAAGCGACAGCTGTCCATACATAGATTCTTGGCTGATTTTCTCTTTTCTCGTAGATTTCTGTTAAGCTAAAGCCACTCGTTGCGCTGCCCACGACATCCGGAACCGGCTCGGAGACCACTGGAGTCGCAATATTCGACTATAAACGGCTGCACGCTAAAACGGGCATCTCCAGCAAGCATCTGAAGCCAACATTGGGTGGGAGCTGCACACACGAGTCGCCAATTGCATGAGCTAATATTTATTTCTATTGCGCAGCTATTGTTGATCCTTTGCACACTTTGACGCAGCCGGAACGGGTTATGGCCTTTGCTGGATTCGATGTGTTCTGCCATGCCCTGGAGAGTTTTACAGCAGTCGACTACCGCGAGCGCGGTCCAGCGCCTGCCAATCCGAATCTGCGGCCCACGTATCAGGGAAGAAATCCCATATCGGATGTATGGGCGAAATTCGCTCTGGACATAATAAGCAAAAACTTCATAGATGCCATTTACCAGCCCGACAACCAGAAGGCCCGCTCCAGCATGCATCTGGCATCGACTATGGCAGGCGTCGGCTTTGGCAACGCAGGAGTGCACCTCTGCCACGGTCTGTCATATCCCATATCGGGTCATGTGCGAGATTACAAGCCCGCTGGCTACTCGGCTGACCATGCCCTAATTCCCCATGGTCTCTCGGTTGTGGTCAGTGCACCGGCTGTCTTTGAATTCACGTCCTCCGCGTGCCCTGAACGCCACTTGGAGGCTGCTCAGATACTTGGAGCCGATGTGAGTGGCGTGAAAGCTGCTGACGCTGGCCGCCTATTGGCGGACACTGTGCGCGGCTACATGCAACGGGCGGGCATAGAAAATGGCCTCCGCGAGCTTGGCTTTTCCAGCAGCGACATCCCAGCTCTTGTCGAGGGAGCTCTGCCCCAGGAACGCATTACCAAAATGGCTCCACGCGCACAAACCCAAGAAGATCTAGCCCGACTTTTTGAGAACTCAATGCAGGTCTATTAATTACACATTTGCACTTACCTATAAATTTTTTTCACTTGGCAGCAATGCAAGGCGACCTAACGGATCTTATTAATGAAGTTAGCTGCATTGGAAAAGGGCATAGGGATTTCGATAACTTAAGTGCATAATCGAAAGTGAATTAGCAAACGAACAATCGTAAAAGGATATCGATTATTAAATTGCAAATAGTACGCTGTTAAGAGAATTTCGAAAATAGTTAACAGCGGCAGTCAACTATAAATAATGTATGTAATGCATATATTTGAATTATTACAAAATTATAATAAAAATTCATTGAAATTAGCATATGTATATAAAATATGATGATAATCTAATTTTTCTTTGAGATTAGACTTATTAGGACCGTTTTCCGTTCCATTCAGGAAAACTCTAGTTCACTTTAAGCTTAATTGAATAACTCATATAACAGTTTTTAGAACTTTGATTTGAGTTGAATTGCTCAAGTTTCTCTTGTGTAAGAATATCATCAAACAATATTGTCCACATTGTATTCTTTCCTAAAGTAAACAAACTCTGAGCAGATCATATTCACTCAATCACACACAAATACATACTTACATACCCTCGCCTTCTCTTGAACTTCCATTTGAGTATTTGCAGAGGCAGCATATTTGAAAATCGGGTTCGTGGAGGAGATGCTATTTGCATGGCTCGACTTTTCATTCGAGGAGGCATTCAGTTGACTATTGACATTGGTTAATTATGCAAGCATATTTTTTGTGAAATATTATTTTCGATTATATATACGTACATATATTGTTCAATGAGCGACTACAGCTGTGAGTGCAAATTTGAGGGCAAGACATTTGATAAGGAATTCGACCGAATGTGGTTGGATATAGCCGATGAGCTGCGAATGCAGCACGAATCAACTGGCATAGGTAAACTATTTCAACACAATCAGATCGGCAGTCCGTGCGACAGTGGATTCGAGAAAATGTGGCGTCAGACTGAAGAGGATCTGCAGAGGGAACAGGAGATTGCAGAACTCACACAAAGATTTTGGCAAAAGCTAAATTTGAAACGTAAACAATCACGATGGAATGTGTGCACAGTATACCCTGTATGCGAAAGTAATAAGAGAGGAGACTGTTGATTGCTTAACAATAATAAGATGCAAAGTGTGAAATTGATTAAATTGAATAAAAATGTTTATTTGATATACAATTAGTCGATCCACGTCCAATTCATAAATAAGTAAATATTTGTATTATATTTAGTCGTACTAGAATACAATGTAAAGATTAAGTTCGTTTTGGTTAAAATAATTTATTGATTCCAGAATATGTTTGCAAGCTCAACATTCAAATTGATTGGATTGATAGTATCATAATAATAAAAGACTTAACGTAGTAATTAATATGCTCTGCGTTCACTTATCTTGCCCAGATCTCAAATCAAAAGTTCTTAAGGAGTTGTAACAGGTTCAGATCTACAGATATATATATCCATGTTTTGCCCAACTGTTTTCATTTTTTTATTTTTATTATTATTATTATTATTTTTTTTTTTTAATTTTATTATTTATCTTTCTCTCTCTATCGCATCTCTCATGACTTTACTATGCATATGAATTTCGGCAAAATGGCACTAAATCTTCAAAACTGTTTCAGAAAAGTATACAAAAAATCTGACATCTGTCAACAGGATATGGAAATATATGTATATATGTATGCATATATGGAATACGGCAACTCAATCAGTTAAGTGTCCGTTGCTCTAGAAACGGTTTGCTGACCGATCTCTGCCCTTTACCCTCGCTGTAGTAGAACAACACCTATTTGCTAGATATTATAGTGGGGAATTTCTCAGTATTTATTTCAGTTTTCTTTTTGTTTCTTTTGTTTCGTTTGTTTCTTTTTAGCTAATACTTTTCACGCGCTCCGCCTGCTGCTGCTGCTGCCTGGACGAAACGTTTCGACGTGCCTCGAGTTGGTGTTTGAGTCGCAGTCGAAATGGCTTTTGGTTATTATTGTATTTGATGATTTGTTGCTGATTTGCTCTTGTTATTTGTTTTTGCAATTTTCCACGTGCTCAACTAAGAGTTAACTTATAAATTAAAAAAACAGCGCAACACACTCGACCACCGCGCTCCATGCCACTCCGCCCACCTAAGAAACGAAGCGAAGCCTTTGGAGCTGCTCGCTGCGTGCGATACGGACTTAGACCTGATTGATTGGCGCGTATCGGTGCACCTTTGGTTGTTTTGGCTCCTTGCTGGTAGTCGGCTTCACAATGTCCTCGCTGAGCTTCTGATACACGAAGGAGTTCTTCGATGCCAATATGGCCATGCGATAGCGCTCGCCGCGCTTGCGCAGTACCAAAGCGACCAGCTTGGCCAGGCCCATCAGGATGACCAGCAGGCAGGTGAGTGCCAAGATGGTTGGTATTAGGAAGTTGGAGCTGTTGTAGTAGATGCGACCGCGCTCAATAATGATCTCCTCCTCGTCGCTATTCAACTCGTCGCTGTCGAGGCCGAATTTATCTGCAATTGCAATGCATTAGGAACTGCTATGATAAGAGTAGATGCAAATCTCCGACTTACCAATCAAGAATTTGTCCTTGGTCTCCTTGGACACATCCACTTCCTCGACCTTCAGGCCGTGGTCCTTGATCTTGGGCTTCAGTTCGCTTTCGATATATTTCTTGACCGCATTTACGGTCTTTGCCTTGTCGCTCTTCTTAATCGGCTCCTCCTCGTCTTCACTGTCGCTATCATCATCATATTCGCTATCACTGTCGTCGTCGTATTCTTTGTCGGCGTCTTCCTTGTCCTCGCCGCCATTGTTCAAGTCTTCCTCCTCGCCGCTGTCCGAGTCCTTCTCCTTCTCCTTGTCGTCGTCAGCGTTAGCCGAGCCCTTCATGATCTTCTGCATATTACTTAGCTTGCTCTTATCCGGAACACTCTTGTCCAAGACACTCAGCAATTTCTTCTCATCATCGTCCAACTTCTTCTCGCTCTCCTCGATGCGCCTCTCAAGATCCTCCTCGCCATTGCTTGAGCTGTTGCTGTGCTTGCACACCTCCTGCGCGAGCTGCGTCCAACCAACCTGAGTCTCGATTTCAATGAGTGAGGCGATATCCTCCAGATTGGGCATCAGTGCCATTCTCTTGGGCATTGTCTGCGTGTGCAGCGATACATAGCTAATAAAGTCCTGGAAATCGTTGTCGCACTTCAGTGGATTGTGGGTTATGTCCAACGAGCGCAGATCCTTGAAGCTCTTAATGTCCGAGGTGGAAATACGCTTGATCAAATTGCCCGAGGCATTGAAGGTACGCAGCGTATCGAAGAACGGATAGCCGACGCCGGCTTCCTTGTCCGTCAGCAACGATGTCAGCTCGCAGTCATTCACGTCTAAGGAACGCAGCTGTCGCAGCGGCTTGAAGAGATGCACAGAGAGCTTGGTGATAGGATTTCCAGCCAGGTTCAGCTTAGTTAGCTCATTGTTTTCCCTAAAAACGAGCTCGTCTAACTGGGTGATCAGATTGTTGCTCAAATCCAAGTCGATGAGCTTTGTGAGGCTGACAAGCGTGTCGCGGGGCAAGTTGTTGATATTGTTCCAGGCCATCTTCAGTGTCGTCAGGTGCGGCATGGTGGAGAAGGTCTTGTGGCCCAGAGCGCCGATGGCACAGTTCGAGAGGTCCAAGTAGTAGACCGTGAAGTAGCCGTTGTAGCTCAAGAAGCCGTCAGTTGGCAATTGGCTCAGCTTTGGATTATCGTTCAAGCGGATGACATCAAGCTCTGAGTTCTTGAAGAACAGCATGCTGGAGACCTGGTCCAGTTCGTTCATGGACAAATCAATGTGGCGCAGACTCTTGAGCGTCATGAACGAGTCTGTCTGAATCTTGGTAATGCCATTGCCCTTCAGGTTCAGATTCGTGAGGCCAGGCATTTTCTCGAACATGGTGTGATGCACATGGTCAATGGAGTTGAAGCTCAGGTCCAATTGCTGCAGCTCGGGCACACCGAAGTGCAGATCGCCCGTGAATGTGTTATATTTCAGATGCAGTATCGATAGAGATGTGCCGTTAAAGACGCCGGCTGGGAGCTCCGTTAGCGAGTTGTAGGACAGATCCAATTCCTCGATTGTTTCAACCGAAGCGAATACCTTCTCGGGTATCTGCTCTAAGTTATTCTGCGACAGATTGATGTAGACAATGTTGGAGAGCATTGAGAAGGCGGTAGGGTTCAGTTCCCTTAGGTTGTTGCGCGAAAAGTCCAGCTCCTCAATGCTGGATGACTAAAATGGAAAGTGAATTGTGATTGGAGAACCGAAATAGATTTCAAGATCATCCCCAACATACCTTCAGCAAGTAATGGAACGTGGACATGAGGCTCAGATCGTTTCCGGAAACGGTCACCATGCGCAGCTTCTTGTTCTGAGCGAAGGTATCGGGGCTAATGATGCCCAGGCCGACATCAGTCATGTTGACGGCATAGAGATCGTCCAAGCCATGGAACGCCTCTGCGTCCACATACTCAACCGTGCAATTGGCGATCTTGATGGAGGCCACGAACTTGAGGCCCAGCTTCTGGAAGAACTTGGGGCCCAGCAGGATGGGATATTTCGGACCCACATTAGTGACCACCAAATCGGTAATGTCCGAGCCAAACTTCTGAGTGCCCAAGTCCAGTCTAAGAAATCAAAGGGTCAATTGATATGGAGGTCAAGATTGGAAGGCATTAATCGATCTACACACCTGCTGCAGGTGGCCACCAGGTAGCTGTTGATGTTGCGCGAGCAGGTGCAATATCTGGGACATGGCACATTCTCGCTGAAGGTGACCTGCTCCTCGTCCATCATCTTGTCCACCTCGTCCTCGTCATCGGAGCTGGAAGTAGAATTCAATTTGTACAGAACATGGAAAAGAACTCAATGTACTCATGGCCATTTTCATAAATATATAGATAAAGTGGTTCATGAGCTCATTTGCTATCGCTATCTTACTCATCGTCATCATCATCGTCATCGTCATCGACATCATCGTCATCATCATATTCATATTCGCTATCAATGGCGTTGTCATTCAAATTTTCCTTAATATCCTTGCTGATCTTGGGCTGGAAGGGAACAGAAATTAGAATATATTAAGCAAAAGAAAGTGGAGCAACTACCTTGGGCTTGCTGGAGGTGTTCTCCTCAATGGGATGCAGCTTGGGCGTGGTCGTCTTGGTCGGCTTGACCTTTTTGGGCCGCGCGCTCGTCGTCTCCTTGACTTCCTGCTCGTCCTCCTCATTCTCGGAGCTGTCGTAATTGTATGCATCGTACTCATAGTTGTCATCATACTCGTAGCTCTCCTCGGTGCTATTCTTGCTGACGGTGGCATTCTCTGGCTTCAGGCGATCCGGCAGCATCTTGTTATAGCGTGGATCCTCGGCCAAAGTCTCGTAGTGCTTGGCCGCCTCCATCAGGTCCTTGAGTGTCTCCTCGCTAACCTCCGATTTCTTGGCCTTGGCCTTGGCCGTGGTCGTATCAAGCGGCGTCTCCTTCACCTTGGGCGTGGATATCTTGATGGCTGCCTTCTTGGCATCCAGCTCCTCCTCGGAGAACAGTTCATTGCTCAGCTGATCATCAGCCAGCACCTTGGCTGCTTTAGCTGGCGCAGCGGACTCACTCGAGTGACTTACATGCAGAACACCCAGTGAGATGACCAGCAGCAACACCAGTCTCGCCTGGCGACCCATTCTTATGCTCGCTAACTGCAATGCAAGAGAGAGAAAGGGAGACAGAGTGAGAAATTATATGAATGTACATAGTAGATGCAGGTAAATGCTTCAGTCTATTTCCTCTAGTTGCACAAAATGTGCCCGTGGAACTCGTTCCGATACTAAGAATGTCAGCAATTCGATAACTTATCTTATCACCCACCTGAGAGATAAGCACAAAACCTTTATTAAATCAACAACTCGCAGTGCGCAGTGCGGATCGAGCTCTTTAAGAGGTGGGCAGACGGTCTCTATATGCCATATACTGATCTCAGCATCCGGCTAATATGGACGCTGCTGACGTGCATCGGTCTCGATCGACGTCGGTCGGTTTTCTGTTGATAAACTCAATTAGCATCTCCCACTGGGCAGAGTTGACATCATGGAATACTCAACTCTGCGACTCCGAGATTGGGCGACCAGTTTTTACGGGGAATTTTACTCAGTTTTTGATATTTTATTTTCTTTCGTGGAACTCTTACTTATCAACGAATGGCCGTTGATAAACAACGCATGAATCTTTAGATATTTTCAATTTGTTACTCAGTTGTTTGCCAAAAAATCTCAACAATTGCAACTTCAGGTACTTTCCCACCTGAGTCCGCTTAAAGAAAGTCGGATATAAGTACTTGGGGTTTTGGTACATTACCAGC